TTGCCACAAAACTATAACAACATAGTTTCATTAGTTACCAGCAATAAGGAGTTATTGTGAACACATGTCACATGCAAACTGTGCACCACTGATTCATCTTTTAATAAGATGAATATGTACAGAAAGCTGCATTAATTACCAATTAATTGATTGTGGTGAGAAAACCAGTTAAAACATTTTTCTTTATTAAAAATGTTCATTGTTTTTCAATGTGGCATAATATTCTATTGTGTAAATGTATCATAGTTTTTCTGTTTATTAGTTTGTTGGGCATTTAGGTTGCTGCCATCTTTTTGCTATTGTTAATAATGCAGCAATAAACACTGAAGCGCATACATCTGTTTAAGTCGTGGATCTGGTTTCTTTAGGGTACATTTCCAATAGTGCAATTGCTGTGTTAAATAGTCTATCTATTTCCAACTTTTTGAAAAAGTGCCAGATAGCTCCTGTAGTGACTGTACCATTTCACACGACCACCAGCATTGAATAAGAGTTCCATTTTTTCCACAACCTCTCCAGTATTTGTTGTTTGTTTTATTGTTGAACTTTGCTAGAATTGCTGGGGTGACATTGTTGTTTTGATTTTTATTTCTTATGGCCAAGGATTCTGAACCTCTCTTCATTTGTTTGTTTGCCATCTAAACGTCTTTTTTGGTGAAGTGTCTATTCATATCCTGCGACAATTTTGTGATTGAATTGTTTACCTTTTTCTTGTTGAGGTGCTGGAATATTATACAAATTTTAGATATAAGTCCTTAATCAGATATATCATTGTCAAATACTTTTCCCCAGTCTATGGGTTTTCTTCTAACCCTGTTGTAAAAGCTTTTTGATGTGCCTAGGGATTTGATTCTTAGCAGTCCCATCCATCTATTTTATTCTCTCCTGGTTGTGAGTTTTTCATTATGCGTAGAAGACCATTTGTACTGTGGAATAGGGCTTCTAGAGTTCTTAGCCTTTCTCTGATGAAGTTTATAGTCATTTATTTTACTTCTAAGGCCTTGATCCACCTTGAGTTTGTTTTGCGAACAGTGTGAGGTGTGGGTCTTAAGTTTTCTGCAGATGGTTTTATATGTATTACAACAACAAAAAAATTTGTAACTAAGGGTACATTGCTGGGTGGGCTGGGGCAGGGGCAGGAGACAGGCGAAGAAAATGTGCAACAAAAGAAAAGAAATAAATCTTGAAAATTATTTAAGAAAAAATATTTTCCTATCAGAAAAACATAATATTTTCTTAAATCCATAATTTAAAAATATTCCATAGTTCACTTGTATTTGTGTCTTTGTTAGTTCTTCAATGTATATGGTAGAGGGAGTTGGTGGTGTAGTCTGTAGGGAATGGCACTTGTAGCTGAAATGCCACAACTCTTCATTGGTTTGAATTCATGAGCACTTCCTCAAGAGATTCAGTTGTGATTGGAAACCCAATGGAGTGTCATTCTGGATTGAGAGCAGCAATGAGAGAGCGAGTATATATGGAAGAACAACTGATCATTATATTATCTAGATTTCTTAAAGCTTTCTCTTGGCTAGACTGAGTTACAGCCACTTGATGTCATTTAGTCTCTACAATAACATTAGGAAGCAGGACATATTATTATCCAGTTTTAACAGATGAGAAAATTAAAGTATAGAGAAGTTAAGTGATTTCCCAAAGACATACAGGTGGAAAGTAATAAAAGTGAAATTTGAACTCAGAATGCTTGGCTACAGACTCTTAAGCCCATCCTCCACTGCCACTGTGATGCAAAATAAGGATATATAGTGTATAACATAAAACCACAGTTCACAGAACTGAGAAGACTAAGAAAGCAAATTAACATGGACTTTAGCTTGCTTGCAACAAACCCCTGAAGTTACAGGTTAACAAGTAGCATTGACAGTACAATTATACATGAGAATTCAACATGAGTCCCCTTTGGAATGTGGAATTGAGAGGGTTAAACTCCATGGGGCTCTCTGGAGGTAAGACTCAACGCTAAGCAATGGCATGTACCTACCATGTTTGTGTCTTTAAGGAACCAATTTGGTGGGAAAGATTCAGTGTCATAGAGGACACTAGAAAGTTTGTTCAGGGGCCAGGTTTACCTCTAGTGTGGATGCCTTTTATTTGCACAGACATAATATGGGTAAATCACTGAACATATTTAAAAATGTTAAAACAATGGGATATTTGAGAAAAAAGTTGTGATCAATCACTTATACATAATTCTTCAAAATTGACCTCTGTGGTTCGTACCTATAAGTAAAAGTGTATGAAAGTGATTTTGTTATAATTTTTAACAAACATCTTAAAATTATTTTCCATGATGACATAGATATTAATCCTTTAGATATGCTGCATCTTGGGAACTCTGCCATTCAAGAGTCGTGGTCTATGAATTCTGTTTGATTAGCTGTTCCGAAGCTAGACAGACTTTGAAATCAGATTAAACAGTTCAAACATACACATTAAAATGTGGTAAGAAATTTGCTAAATAATTAAGCATGCCAATATTTCTCAAGGCTTTTTCTAATACTCGGAAATTGACTGAATAGTTATGCTACAATAACTTTAAAATTTTATAATAATAATGTAAGGAGCCCTGGTGGCACTGTGGTTAAAACACATGGTTGCTAATCGAGGTATGCTAAATGTGGTTGTTCAAAGTCACCAGGTCCTCCTCTGAAGGAAGATGTGGAAGTCTACATCCATAATGATTTACAGCTTTGGAAATTCTTTGGGACAATTCAACCTGTCTTTTATGGTTGGGTAGATGTTAGGATCAACTTGACAGCAGTAGGTTTGATATTACTTTGTTGGCTTGTTGGCTTTTGGTTTTGGGTTTTTTTTTTTAAGTCAATTAATTGAAAAATAATTAAATTATTTGTGTTTTACAAATTTATTACTGAAATGCCAATTTTTAGCATTATTATTATACATATTAATTCAACATTATTGTTCTCATTTATTTCCATTAAAGGCAAAAAAGGCAAATCTTGCCTATCTCTAAATAAAACACAGTGTTTGCAGAAAATAAAATATTGGTGAAGGAGAATAACATCAGTAAATTTTACCCCATGTATTTCCAGGTAGGTTTTATGAACATGCTTTAGGTGTAAATCACATTTTAATAACCTATCACTATCACACAAAAACAGGTGGATAAACAAATCCTCTGGCAAATGAAAAGCCATATAGAAATACCTTTCTGAGGATTTCTATCCAGAGCACTGTCTGAATTGCTTAAGACAAGAATCTCATTTGCATAGACAAGTGTTATTTCTATTTTTGCCAAATTCAATGGCATTAAGGGCCTGGGAATACAAGACAATCTCCATATGTATTATATACCTAAATGCACTCTATTTACTAAACTCTGATCAATTTACCACTGCTCCAAAGATTTTTAAAAATTGAGATATTAACCGTTTTTGGGATTTGTAATTACATGGGCTTCTTTGGACAATTTAGAAACTTATTAGCAATAACTGAATTTATCATATGCAGATTTGAAGAGTGCAAATCATACATTTAGGATTTTTTTTTTTACTTGGTTATGAAGTAAATCTTTCCTTGGAGTCTTAATGATTGGTTTATTCTAATTTATAACATGGTCATGCAGTAGGCTCAGTATTTCATGTTTCCAAGTCTGAAAATCAGATTTACATTTTCAATTTAAAATTCCAGGTTATAATTTTCTTAGTGAACCTAAAAGCCAGCTGTGCTTTAGACTTTCAGATCACATCTTATATTGTTATCAAAAAGATGGATGAGCCTACTTGCTACACAAACGGAAACTTTATAAATGGAACAAATCCCATGTGCTCTTCCGTCTGTCTAGTGTCTCTCTTGAGTTTTGAAACAGTAATCTTAACATTAGCAAAATACTGCCGAACACAATTTGAATGGAAACAAATCCCAGCTTAAAAATAATTTCTCCCTTTCAAGACTTAATGATGTCTTGGCAACCTTATGCACAGGCTCAAGTATAAGCTAACCATCTGAGAGCATTGTGGGGAAAGCATCTGCTTTCCTCTTGGGTTCTATAAGTTAGGATCATTCAGTTTCTACCTCCAAGAGAAAAAGAATCTTAAAAATAAATTCTTTTTTGTGATATGCAACCAATTTCTAGTTATCAGACCCTTAACCCATCCATATCTTCTCTTTCTCCTCCCTCTGTAGTGTTCTAAGTTTTACAGAAAGATTGTCTTGTTCTCATTTATATTCAGACAATCCCAAGGCCATCAAGTATGCTATTTTTGGACTAAATGAATGGGTCAAAATGAACCAAAGTTTCAATCAGATGTGATTTGAGTATACAGTGCTATAGTTTAGTTGTAATAGAACAAATGAGCTCTTAAAAGGCCTAGAATAATTCGGACTAAAATATCTTGGGGTCTTTTTCCATTTTAAAGTGAGTTGTACAATTCTTTGTGGTTGGGGATTGACAGCACAATGGAAACCGAACAAATGCAGAAATTTCTCACCAGGTAGCTGCATTAGCAGCAAAACTCACAATGTACTCTGTTGGCTGAAAAGAGCATGAAGGAGTCTTCTGTTTTCCTATGAGATGTTACATTCTTACAGTTCTTGGCCAATTATACTTAGCTACTGCCAAAGTGTAGCTATTGGAAAATGTTCCCTACCCCACAACCTTAAGCAATATGAGAGATCTCATGACTACTGATTCTACTTAAAATTTATTAGCAGAGATAAATATTAAATAAAGCTTTTTCCAAGTATGACCTTCCAGTCCTAATGTATACATAGTACAAGATGCTGCTCTGTGAGAGCAATCTTAATTGTTTGTATGCACGCCTGAGTTATGATAAATGGTAAAAATATAGGCAAATTTCAGTGATCTTTGAAACTTTTAAACTGCACAGTAGCTCTCTTTTTTATAGCTTCAATTTTTTTATGGTACAAAATACATAACACAAACACTTCCCACAGTTCTTGCTTTAAAAAAAAAACCCCAAACATTATGTAGAACCTTTCACATCTGTTTTACTTACCAGAATCAAGAGGCAACTTGATGCCAGTTTTGTGTGCTCAGGGATGGTAGAAAACACTGACAAAATCAAGCAACCAAAGACGAGGAGAAAACTGTAAAAGAGACAAACAAGAGAAATGTGGTAAGAATGTAGAATTCTTATTTCTAATAAAGTACCAAACCCTTTTGAATTAGCACAGACTATGTTAAAGTATTAGGAGGGACTGACATTTGAAATATAAAAAAAACAATAAAACATAGAGTGCAAATATAAAGCTCTTTTGAAAATGTATTGGTGAAGGAAAGGCCGCATGTCAGATTTGTGCATATGTGTACTATGTATATGTGGGATATTTAAATAGTCGAGTCTAAGAATTCTGGATTTTCTAACTAACTTCCTTCCCAAGCAGGAATTCTGAGAAAGACCCAGAATGTCTGTTGTTGCACGTGCTGACAGCCACCTTTCTTTCAAAGAAGCAAATCCACTGGATGCTTCAAAGCTTTGGTAAACTGTCAAGTGTTCAAAGTAGCTGTTATTGAGGCACTGGCTTATTGCCACTCTGATATTTTTCATGGATTCTGAGTTGTCATTCCTTTGTAATGATAATAAGAGCAGGAAAGGAAAGGAATGATTTCCTCTGCTACTCATGAACTCTCTACTTCCTTAATGCCAAACTCTCAGATAAATGACCTGTAGCCCCCTATCTGTTGTTATAATCATGATAGGAAGTGGAAGTCTAAGCAGACATTTTCTACCAATTATCTAAAAACATTATTATTCCTAGAAATAGAGAACTTCTGGGACCCAGAGAGGGTGGCAAGTTCCTGAAGGAAAAAAGTCCAGTAAAAAAAGAAAGCTTTGTTTCTTCGTTTCTCACTTCCTGAAAAGCAAGAGTGAAAAACAGAAAAAGGAAAACCCTGATTTCTTTGCTCTATAGACACTGCAGACAGTGATTTTCACCTTTAGTAATCTGTGGGGAGCTTTCTAGTAACACTTCTCAGTAACCATGTTTGCCAAGATAGCGTCTTCTTTGCTTGATCTGACTGAACAAGTCTTTCTACTGTCCTTGACTGAGAGCAGCCAGAACAGGAGTTGTTAAATTATGCTCTGGGGGGCAAATAAGGATCTCAATGCTTGTTTTTGTAAACAAAGCTTTATTGGAACACAAAATACTTATTATAGTCATTGTTGTGTGCCTTAGGGTAGGTTAGGGTCAGCACATGAGTTTTCAGGGGCTATTAATATTACAGGAGGAGACTGTTCATTCTTCTCCCCTAGAGCAGCTGGTGGCCTCAAACTGTATGCCTTCAGGATGGCAGCTCAGCTTCTTGCCATTAGACCACCAGAGCTCCCTTGAATATATATTATCTATGGTGGCCTTCATACTGTAACTGCAAAGCTGAGTAACTATAGCAGATAGTATAAACTGCAAACCCCCAGATAGTTTATATTATTAGCCTTTTGGAGAAAAAAAGCTAGCTGATATAATGTACTTTGATTTCTTTTTTTTAATTTTATTTTATTAATTTTAATGAACATTTACAGAGATTTTGGATTTCCATTCATTTATTCATTGTTGCATTTTTCTCCCTGCCCATCCCTTCCCCCCAGTTTGCTCTTCTCTTTGAAAAATAAAAGAAAAATTCTTTCAATCCTCCCCCCCATGGCCAAGTACACTCCACTATGCTGCCTTCATTCTGGACTCTTGTCATAATCATAGTACCCAATCATATATCACTTTTAAATTGTTCTCTCTCTCATCTGTTTCAATGCAGTATACACAATTTAGCCAATTTTTTCCTCAGTCTCACCCCAACCCTGATGTCAGTGTCGTTCTTAAAGAGTGGCACTAAGCAGTATTTGTCCTTTGTGACCGAGATATTTCACTCAGCATAATGTCCTCCAGGGTAACCCATTTTGAATAATATTGCATGAGTTCCTTGTTTTTCAATGCAGTGTAGTATTCCATTGTGTGAATAGAGCGCAGCTTCTCTATCCATTCATTTGTTGATGGACACTTGTTTCCAACTCTTTGCTATTGTGAACAAAGCCGCAATAAACATGGGTGTGCATATATCTCCCTTATTCACTGTTGGTGGGAGTGTAAAATGGTGCAACCATTATGGAAGTCTGTATGGCACTTTCTCAAAAAGTAGAAAATAGACATGGAGCTCTGGTAGCCTAGTGGCAAGGAGCTGCCAACTACAATCCCAGAGGCGCACAGTTCGAATCCTCCAGATGCTCTGCCGGGGAAGGAGGGACAATCTCCTCCTGTACCATCAGATCTGATTTGATGGTACACTCACACAAAAATAATAATAAAAAATAGTAGAAAATAGAAATACCATTTGACCCAGCATTCCTCTACTGGGAATATACCCTAAAGAAACCATAAGTGCCACCCAGGTATTTCTATTTCTTTATATATATCTCAACATAGACTCATGATAAGCCCCTTTGACATGCACTATTCATATCATGGAGTTGATTTTGATTCATAGCCACCCTACAGAACAGAGTAAAGTGACCAGTTTCAAAGGCTGTGATCTTTATGGAAACAGAGTGCCAAAGTATCATTATTTCAATGCTATAGGATGTGGAAACTGAGAATTAGAAACATTTAGTAACTTATTCAAGATTGTGTAAAAAAAAGGGGGACGCCTTCATAAACTGTCATCTAAGCTTCCACACAGTGTTACTCGAGAGATACACACTGATGAGCTTACAGCTCAACACTCTTGTCTCACCAAGTCTCTGCAGATACTGTTCTATCATCTTACAGAGAAGGAAGTAGTTGTCATGTTCAACAGAAACAATTAAAGGCAAGAAATCTATTAGTGAAAAGAACTTGCATGTGATGTTAATGACTGGTCATCATGCTTTTGAGTCAGGAATTTGAGAGTCAAGATACTTTGGATTATATTCCAAACTGGCCTGAAGGGAAAGGAAATTTTAACTAGAGATCAAATTCTAGGGCACCTCTGTGATCCCTACACTACTAATTAGAAGACAAAATTCAGAGATGACTAGGGTAGTTGGGAGGATTTGGTGGTATCAAATGTGGGCAGTGACAGATATCTTCCCAAGGGTCAATATTGAAATATGCTCCTCAGTTCTAGGTTACTGAAAAAAAAAACCAAACCACAAAATTCCCAACACAAAACAACCCACAATAAAAAATAAACAAACCAACAATACAACACCACCACCCCCAAACCCCAAAACATTAGGAAAAGCCAGCAGGGGATTAATTTATGATTAAGACATCTTCTTAAGATCATCCCAATAATAGCTTTATAATATTATGTTTGTATATATATATCATGAATTACAGCCTGGTTTCTTCTTCATAAATATTTGATGTTGCTTAATATTTTTTCATGCCACTTCATTGCCTGTTTTCTTATTGGCAATAATCTCACCCTGATTTTATATAAGAAAAAATTTTGTACATCCTCTTATTTCTACAGGGGGAGCAGAGCGACCCATAAGACACAAGCTTGCATGTAGAAATCCCTCTGCTATTTGGACTGCCCAAAGGCCGACTGATAAGCAAATTCATACAGTCATTCATTTCTTCATTAATTTACCTATTCAATTGTTCATCCTTTTATAGAACTATCAAATACTATTTGTTGTTGTTGTTGTTGTTGTGTACCATTGAGTCAGAACTGACCCATAGCTAATCCTCCAGTGGGTTTTCAGAGACAGTTACTTGCATAGGAAGAGATTGCCCATTCCCCTCCCATGGAGCAGCTGGTGGCCTCCATCCGTGTACCTTCAGGATTGCAGCACAGCTTCTTGCCACTAGGCCACCAGAGGTTCCAAACACTGATTAAATATATAATAATGCTAGCCTGAGCCACAGGAATATAATAGTTAACAAAACTAACTATTTTTTTAAATTTATATTATTTTGTCCTCACAGGGTTCAAGTTCTGCTGAAGCATACAGAGAACTACACAAAGGTAAGTGAAAATATCAAACTGCTGTGTGGTTATTATAAAGATATGCAAAACACAAGAAGAAAAATAAATGTTAACTGAAACTGGTTGGTGATTCCCAGGGTCCAGCATAAAATGAAAACACAGACTCTATTGCATAAAACCTATTAAGAGTTTCAAGAAAGTAACAGCAGAGCATGAAACAAAGTTGCATGCCCATGAAATCAGTCTTGGTGTTAAGAAAGGTTTCTGGAGGAAGTGCTGACCTGATGAGACCTGAGAGCCCAGCAATAGTTAGGGTACTAGCTGCAGAAATAGGAAATGCTAGTCTAATAGACAGGGTGGAGACAGGGCAGATGGAAGAACAGAATTATTAGAACCCATGAACTAGCTCACCACATGCAATACATGTGAAGTGGAAAGCAGGTCATGCCTACAGATTTATTTTTTGCACAGGAATTATTTAAATTTAGTTGAAACCACATCTTGAGTTTTCATTGTGAAAGTGCTATGCTGAACACTACAGGAGGTACAAGGACAAATTAAAGCAATCTATGCTCTTTAGAAATTTAGAAATTGGTGAAGTGAGTAGGGTGAACAAGCTGGTTCACAATGGCTCATAATGAAAGAAAGGTAGAAAACCACACAAAAGCTTAGTGGCTGGAAGTGAGAAGGGGATCTATTCAATTAGTGGAAGTGGGAGCCTATCAAGAAAATATTAAAAAATATATTACCTGAATTGGACTTTGAAATGTAGGATTTAAACAAGAGAAATGTCTGGGGAAATACAATCTAGAAGGAGTGAACTTGAAAATAAATGAGCCAAAACATCTGCTCTCAGTTTTCATGGAACGTTAAGTTACCAAATTTGATTGCAGGATAGGATGAGGCAGGCAGCAGAATTGGGAGTCAGGGTCATGTTGGAGAGAGGTCTTCAGGGTTGGATTGGCATATAGATAATAGTTAATCAGTGAAGATTTTTTTTTAAGTAAGGCACTAACATTAGAGATGCTCTCTGGGGAGAGGATGGCGAGTAGAGCTTGGGCAGCAATGGCAGTAGCTGAAACGTGAAAGCTGACTCTGAGGTTTTTGGCTGTAGCTATTGGCAGTTGTTCCAATAAAAAAGTCCAGAGGAAAGCTAATTTTGGGATGATGATGATGATAAAAG